CTATGCACCCGCATCACAAACATGGAGAGGAAAAAAAATACGAATAATTTTTACTTCCCCTTAGAGGAAATAAAACAAAGCATGAACGAGTACATATGCACAATGTAGTAGGGTCATATAAAGAAAAAAAATAAAAATAAATAGGATATCACTTAAGTGCGCATGTTCGTATTAAACCATTTCGTTTATTTTTTTCTCCCCAAAAAATGGGCAAATGTTTTGTTCACTTGAAAGAAAGCTCTAACTGAGTTCTCCCCTACATGCCATTCTTATGCGGCTACCCTTGTGTGTATGTATTAGAGGGGAGGGAGTACCCCTTCATTTCTGTCTTTACACATCACGGGTTACCCCATTGGGGAAGCAATAACAGGGCGGTTCCTTGCATAAACTTCTATCCATCTATGCCTACATAGGTACTTCTAAGGAGACCCTTTATCGCATCGCAGCATGCCAGTTGAAAAAGATAAGCGGAGAGAAGCTTCCTATATATCGTTCTACATATGGTATAGAAGCCAAAACGACTGGGGGCGGACACTGGGGGTGGGCAATTCATTTCCCTGGATATGCAAAATTGGCAGGGAGCTTCTCCCCACTTGAGTTAAACTACCTACTCTACTGTTATGCGTTTTTATTTTGTTGTTGACGGGAAGGCGCAAATGTCCCACGGTCCCTCGAGTTTGCTAAGGGTGGAGGCGAAGGGGGACATGAATTGAGTGGGGATTTTTCCCAACGGTTCGCGTCACGTCGATTGACACGCCGCTGGTCCGGCATAACCACTTGTGTGTATGTCGAAGGAGAGGATAACCTCCTACATGGATACGAACAACCCAGGCGTATGGGTCTCCCCTCCTTCCGGTACTTACGTTTTCAAATTGTGCTTCTTTACGAAAAACGCGGGAACGACAAAAATGAGGAAAATGTGCCTGCAAAGGAGAGGAAGGAATAAAATTTACCAGGCAATTTCTCAAGTGAGAGTAGCTCCCCAGTGGAGGTGTGAAGATGCAGAGGAGGTACATGAGAACATGTAAGCAGCAACCTCCCACATACGCGCGAAATGATAACAAAGGAGTGTTGCAAATTTTTTCACAATGTGAGAAAATACACTGCATGAGAAACTTACCCGAGGAAGTTTAAGTAAAACAGGATGGCGGAAATGCTTCTTATGCAGAGGGATAGAATTAAGAACATCAGGGGGAATAAGACGTAGTTGTAGTAACTGATGTTTTTTAACTGAATGTGGGGCAAGCCAAAAAAGGGGGGAGGAACAACAGCGAAATTATGAAATGAACTCAACTCTGAAGGGGAGTCACACCGTAGGGCAGCTCCACAGTGTCGTTTCATTTTAACGCTTTGACGATTCGCCTCCTTACGGCTATGGTTTGAACGATAAAGGGGGCATAGAAAAAAAGTCTAAAGTAGGGGGAGCGAAATAAAATGTGTATCGTTTGTGCTGTTCTCACGTGGGTACATAGCACAGTGTAAGGGAGGGGAAGTACTTCGTTGCACACTTTTTCACATCATGCTTCTGGATCATAACACATTATATGTAGTTCATTCTCGTGGTCATTCTGATAAATAAAGAACGAGGACGATCACCAAATGGTGTCGTGAAAAAACTTCTTGCTGTCTTACATGGAGGAAAAAAAGAGGAAGGAAAATATCTACAAAGGAAAGTAAAAGGAAGTTTCTAGCGGTATAAGCGATGCATAAAGTGGGCGTCTTTCCTTGCACCCTAAAAATGGGCCCAAAAAAAAAATAAAAAAAAAAAAAAATAAAAATAACTAAGGCGTCCACCTCTTCAAAAATGTTACCTGCACGATGGATGCGAGGCGGGAACCCAGTATGACACTTGCGATGACGGCACAACTTAGCGAAGTAGAATCGAATATATCTATATTTTCGTTTTTCCTAATGTGGTGACAGGAGGGAAAAAAAAGGCGCTTAAGAGGTCATTTCGCTAACATCACTCAAATGTACCCACTTAGACGCACGGATAGCTACACCAAGCAGCATGTGTCCATAACCAATAGTTCACTCTCTTGCTTACTCGTATATAAATCCGTAATTGTGAAACATAAGATGAATGAGCAGCAACACTTGCGTTCATAAAGAGGAAGGGAAGAAAAAAACATGTGACATGCATAACGCTTCCGAGAAAAGTAAGAAATTCTTATAATAGAAAAACGAAATAAATATGAGGCATTTAAATACAAATGCTTATTTACGTATGGAAACCAAATACACCGTGTCGTCGCTGTGCGTTTGGGTTAGGCTAATTAACACGGGGGATAAAATCTTCCGGGGGAGAGGAAAAAAAAAACATATAATGCACGGATGGGTGTGCATGTAAATGTGGGAGGGAAATCAAAAGGTTAATCTTTGAAGTAGTGGAAAAAAAAAATGTTACCCATATTATTCCGATAATAATTATGGTGTCTAAAATATTCTTAAAGGAGCCTATAAAGGGGTGAGGGAATATATATATATCCTTATTCGTTTTTTTCTTTACTTATTCATCTTCATTTTTTTTTTCTCTTTCATCTTACAGTTGATCGATTTATGGACTTGGTAAATTAGTACCTCCTTGAGTATTATTATGGTGATGTTGGCTGCGTATATTAGCCTGTGAGAGGGCGATGGAGAAGAAATTGGGCGCGTTGCTGAGCCGTTGCTTCGGCCCATGGACCCATTTCGAGAAGAAGGCCTACCTGTTCGACGCTATATTTTTGTCGATGCAGTAATACGCCAGCAAGAGAAACATCACGACGATTATTTGGTGATTCACACACAGCATGCTGTGACAGACCTGGGAATACTTGTACTTGATGCCGACTGACGGGGGATGGCAGAAAAAGGACATGAAAAGAGCAACGAAGTGGAAAAGGCAATGGAACGAAAGAAACAGGGAAGTGTTAAAAAGAATGAGGCGAAAAGAACGGTGACGTGAGCCCAATCAATACGTTCTTATTCCCCTCCACGATGGGTCACATCGAAGTGACGCTTTTAAAGCGATGGTTTAAATTCTGCTTACAGTTTGTCAAGAGGGAGCTCATAAAACTGCTGTGAACATAGTTGTCCTGGTATCCCTGGTCTTCATATAGTATTTTTCGCCATTTCTTTTTCCGCTTCATGAAAAAAGAGTAATCACGCACGTGTGTGTGTATATTTTTACTCATCCGTTCATGTGCCCATGTGTGTGTGTGTCAGACGCCCACGATATAGGGCACACCTACCCGGTGTGCCTTTACACCCGTTCGGCGAAGACAAAAATGTAGAAGCTCTCTTCGCAACTAATTTTCTCCTAATTGTGTAGTGCTCTAGTAGCCATTCCATCTTTTTTTCTTTTTGTGTAATTTTTTTCTTTCGAAGAAAAGCGCCATTTACCGTTCCACTTCTGCCAGTCCCATCCATTATGTGACCAATTCAGAAAAAATAGGAAGGTTTTTTCTTTTTATAAAATATT